CTACGTGTTCATTATGGTCCATTCCTCCTTGACGAACAAGTACATAAGTGAAAATTTAGTCGAAGACGAGAAAACTGCAGAAGAAATTTGCCTTATTTACACGTATCGACAATGCAAGCTGCCATGTGACTTCCCCTTCTGACGTCACAAGGGGAATTTCTGTATGCAAATAAGAAGCTAATGAGGAGCCTCGTTTTAAAATACACAAAAATAAAGTTGCCGTAAATTGAGTTTAAAACACATTTTTTCACTTAAAAAAATAATTCATGCTCAGAAACATAAAAAAATAATATTTATGTATAATTTTAGGCGTGAAAATAGCAGCCATTTCACAGGCACTTTAAAAGAACACTTTGAATTCATATACAACATAATATATGGTATCCAACACATGTTTTTGAAAACAGCGTTTTACCTGCAAATGTTTTGCAAAGTTACAAGATATATTGCTAACTGACTCTCCGAATAATTCTCAGAACGGCCGTTATACAGTAACAATAATAACAGTTGGGTGTACACATTTCTTACTAAAACGCTATTCACACGTCATGCGACAGTCCATTTTAGACTGTACTGATACATGGAAACTTGTAGTTTTCAAGAAGTCGAAAATAGCACCCAAGGCACCTACATACCAAGTGTCAAAGTAATTGAGCTGGTAGTTTTCAGGGAGAAACAAGTTTTCTCAGAACTGACAAATATAAGGAAGCAAATTCTTAATCGAGACGTGACGAACAAGCTGTCCACATCAAAACAAAATTGGCGTGACATCATTAAACCACGCTGAAGTTTTAGTGAAGCCAAAAATGTTCAACAACTTATAGTTTAAATTCGAGGGCATGGTGGGCTTTAAAAACTACAAAAAAAAAGAAGCAATGATTGATATGATGTGCACCTTTTTAATATCCTGCGTGGTTTTTAATCCCCAGCCTCGTCCTTTCTCATCGGTACGGAATGGAATAGTCTCAGGATACTGCATCTTTTGAAAACGTTGATTCTGACAATTATCCCCAGCAGGGCAAACCTGCGAATGGCATTCTATTAAAAGCATACGATTTAGACAGTCACTGTCTGGTCCACAGGGGTTCTTCATGTCAGCCTTACATTCACATGGTGTACATTGAGATATATCACATTGCTGCATTACAACTTTGCCTACAGGTTTATTTGTCTGAAAATCGCAAACAAAAGTAATGATTAAATCCAGCATTATTTAGTACTCGTTGATTATCCCTATTATGTGCAATGTCCTATTGGACACAGTCAACAAGACAGAATCTATTAAAAGGGAAGTAATGGGGTAGGGAAGCAAGTAAAGTCACAATACACAGTATACAGATTCAGTATTGTCTCAACTTACCTGACTAATATAAGCTGGATTAATTTAATTATCACATTGCATCTGTAGAAAGTGAAACATACATAAGAACCAGACCTATCAAGTAAGGTGGCTACCATACTAATCCGAATATAGTATCTCCTTTCCATACCAAAAAATTTGAAAAAAGTTGCTTTAGAGCACAGAAAATTCGTAATGCAATTCAGAAAGTAAGATACAATACGGATGAATATGGCATAACTTATCAAGCAAGCTAAGTAAAGAAGAAAATTAGTAAACTAGGGAAAAATGACAATGTGACTACTGTGTTAGTTGGTTTGTTGAGCAAACTAATGAAAATTTCCACTTACCTTGATAAATTTAAAAGGTGCTGGTTTCTTTCCACTGTTATGTAGATCTTTAGCTTCCCTGAGGTCTTTGGCCTTTTTCCACTCCTGGAATTTGTCATTTGCTTGTTTCAAAGCTGCAGGAGAAACAATTGATTTCAATATTCATTAAATATGCAAGTTTACCGGGTAAATAATGTGTTTTAAATTCAAGATTAACTTTTATATCAGAATTTCATTATATTTTTCATGTCGGCCCTAACCAACCACACTATATAATTACCTTGTCTGAAGACTGCTGCAAGTCCCTTGGTGCACCCTCTTTCTGCACTCCCCTTATCCCCTTCTTGAAAGTGAAAGACCCTGGCTCGATGAGTCCAATAGTAATCATTCGAACCAAAGAAATGGACAGGAAATTCACCAACTTGATGGGATCTTTCTTGAATATTTAGTGGAATGTTTCTTGGATGACAAACTTCTGCTGGCCACCACCTGAAATGGAATACAAGAAGTAATCATGTTAACTAGATGTGTTCGGGAAATGCACATGAATGGATGCTTATATGGAAACATGTAATATTGTACCACTAACCTGTAATTTCCCAACTTGACCCAGACGATATCACCATATTGAGGTCGTTTACCATTAGTACAATCACGACAATACCAGCTACCATCTGGGATCTCGTCATATCCGATACAATCGGGATGAAACGCTGCTGGGCAACTTTCACAACACATCAAACTTCCCCCTAACAAATACAAAATTCATAGCATTTCATTCAGCAAGTGACATTTTGACATACTTTTCAGTATACTGTGGATATATAATCAATTATTCCATAGATTCCATTACAGAACAGTTCTTAGGTTGCCAGCCCAACACTCGCAATGAATCATATTTATGATCAATGCTAGAATAGAACCAAATGACAAAAAAAAAAATGTAATTTTTATCCTCACTTGTAAATAACAATAATACGATAGACAGTGGTTATCATAAACACAATTGAGATTTTTATGAATAAACCAAGATTTTGACCAAAAACAGTGCACATCCAACTCATTCTGCTGTAGCAGGATTCACCCTGGTGTTTGAGTGGCAGCCAGCAACCGAATGTAAATAACACTCATTCTGATAACGCCATAGATCCAGGGCTATATGCAAAACATGGTCGTTGTGTCCTGTGCACATGTTTGGGGGTATGGGTCTCGTACTATGCAAAGCATGGTAGTCGCATTTGGATGCGAGTTAGTGTATGGTTATATGGTCATTCTGGTATGGTCTCCTTTGATCAACTTGTATGCCTGTGGGTTTTAACTGCATTGCTAACTTCTGTTTATAGCAGGTAAAAATATATCTGTCAGTCTTACCTTTGGAGCACATAAAGCACCAGCTGACGTTGACATGCGAATGATGCTTCTGTGTTTTCACAGGCTGGAAGTGCTTACTACAAACTATAGCATTGGAGGCAAGTACAATGCTTCCAGCAGCTATACAGTTGTCCCCAGTATGATAAGCAGTTGGACACCGAACACATCGTGTTAATCGTCCTGTTAGTTGGAGGTAAAATGTAAAGTCACTTCAGGTATACAGGGAAATTAATAAGAGTTCGAGGGCCAGACATTTTTAGGGAAAATAGGCGATTGCCCAGATATTTGTTCATGTTATCTCAACCATTGTCTATAGTACAGTAACTTACTGCAAATACAGGTCAGTGTTGAGTAACAAATCACTTGATCTATTCAGATTCCTACACCACAGGTTCACACCCTTTTATAGATGCTTTTTAAAACTAATGTGCGAATTCAAGACCTACTCAAGCAATTCTTGCAAATTCTCTACATTATTGATTACTAATCATACTTCCCGACGCATGGCCTTAATTAAATACACAGTAGAACAATCACATGCATTCATGTCAACTAACTTTAAGACAACAGATTCCATTTATCTACAAAGGACCTTTTCACCACCAGTCCATTTTTTCGCATCACAAATTCACAAAATAGTTCTGTTTATAGTCTGCACTTTCTTTCAGAAGATTGAGACAAAAATGGCCACAGCCACATTTTTTGATGGAAAATGGAAATTTGTCTATTGATTCCAAAATTAGAGTTCATTTCTGAACATTTTGAAAAATATAAACAAAAAGTGCAGAAAAATTTGAGTGAGATAGTCTGGTGGTGAAAGGGTTAAAAAATTGGCAAAGCAGGGTAAAAAAACTCTTAGAGACTCCTGCCTGCAACCCAGTATAAACACAATTTTAGAGTTTTGCAGGTTATCTTTCACACAACCATACCTTTAGTGGCTTTGGGATTCCTTGGGTTGTCTGCAGCACAGGCTTGACAGGTGTGTAAAGGGCAAGTAACACCTTTCCCATCAAACCTGGTCAGTGTCCACTTCTTCAAGCAGTCTTCATGATAAAATTTGCCACACAAAGCAACTGAACAGCGCTTTACTTCGATATCACATTTGGTACAGATGAAACATGAATGGACACCTAAAACAGAAAGCGTTTTGTCAGGCACTGCATTGACAAGCGCCAAAAGCACAGCTCCCTGGAAGCACTCACCAGGTGGTAATCCCAGTATTAGAAGCATTTGTGCAACAACTACAAGAATTGGGATAATGGCTAAATTTTCAATATTTCATTGAAATAAAATCCAAATGGTTGTGATCAAATACAGCATGCACAACACTTGAATTAATTATACATGCAACAAACCAATTCAAACCACAACTTAACATACAAATGCCCAACACCATCTACCTGCTAACACCACTATAAATGCACTGAAACAATACAAACCATCTATCCATCCATGTCCAAATGAAACCAATCGGCGTGCATTTCAACAAAAGTTCAACAACAGATGACCCAACTGTCTTAGAGGAAATGTATCCACCTTGACACATACCGGGCTATATTGATTAGATACCAAGTTACAAAAACAATCTAATCTCACAATAGAAGCAGAATCTTCATTTCATTGGGCTTTCAATCTTCACACACACACACACACACACACACACACAGGGCATCCAAAGTTACACAGCTGCAGAGATGGCAAATAGAACAAATCTATTTCTTAGGCCATAATGCACAAAAAATTGCACGCATACACAAAGGCAAACAGACATCTATTATTTTGGTCACACATAACCCATTAGAAAAATTCTTCCAACTGAGCCATTATGAAGACTAGTTGTCAGTATCGAGGGTTGTCATTTTGTGAGGAACATTCTCACATTTCAATAAAATATATACAGATGGAGAAAGTGTCACATAAGAAGAATTCCATGAATGAGGCAACCATGTTGAACAGAACAGAGAACAAAAGAACAAAAGGAAAGAAAACTAGTTTGTGGGAAGCCAGATAGAATGGGAATGGGAGGAGGTGAGAAATGCACTCAAGTTGGATTTTGAGCAATAAAGATGAATGAACAGACAGTTTTGTTTATGTGTTCGTCTTTATTAGTTTAGTTTACATTAATTAGGTTATAAAAGGTGTTTATTTCTGTATTTTTCTTAAATTTGCTTCATTTAAAAAAAGCTGCCTATATACTACAATTCATCAACTTTGACTAGAAGAATTTCATTCTTAAAATCGCCAAAAATAAAATAAAGAAAATAACCAGTAGCCCATGTATCCAGGACTGTAATGTTTCATGTATTTAAATAACAAAGAAATGTACACACTGAGTTATTAAATATAAACTTAAGTTTTGCATCTGTCACAAAATACATCCTCAGTGCATTTCTACAATATTACGATGCATTTTAATTTATGCCAAGCAGGAGGAATGTTGGTAAGAATTACAAAATGCAACTTTATAAATTGGACAATGCCCAGCGTAGGAACTTGAAGACTCGTATTTAATATCCACTCTGTACAATTAAGAGGTTAGTGTTCGTTGGTCACGGTGCTTTCGAGCTTTAATTTTCTTGATGGTGTGTATATATAGCATTGATGACTCTTGGATGGAAAGGCAATACTTAGCCTGTATTCCAGAGTCTGATTGCAGGATATTTTTCAAAATGTGAATCTAAGAAAACAAAAAAAATACTCATATCTCACAAAAACCAACCTGAAATGCATTCATCACATTTGAACACGCCAGATGGCATTTGTTGTAGTCCTATACAGTCGAGATGAAAAGCTCCACAGCACTGGCCCTCACATAGTAGCAGCTCTCCCGGCCGTTCACACACTTGGCACACATTTTCCTTTCGTGATGCACCAGCTCCTCCGCCAGTTGTCCGAGAAGTATTTTTGCCATTGGTCATACTGGTGGTACTGCAGCCATTACCACTACCACTACAATTGCCATTGCTACACTCGCTGTCGTTATTTTCGCTATTCCCATTAGTGGCCGACTGTATCGCATCGCTGATAATACTAGTGTCAATAACAAGAGGGTTTTCATCTTCTTGCATTTCAGCAAAATCTTTAGTCATCTAGAAGAAAAAGAGAAGATTTTGAATATTACACAGGCTTAACACCGAGGGGGGTTCTACAGACAGGAACAAGTGAAACTGCCATTCGTTTATATACTGTATTGACACCTGTGCTAAACGAAGCGAGAGAATTCCACTGGTATAACATACATTCTTATTGGTTAATAAGTCATTATGGCAGTTCAAATCATCCAGAAACGTGAAGATTTGGATTGAAAGAAGAACTCAACTTCAACAGTTTTCTCTACATACCCTAAAATTTTTATGTTGTAAATCTGATAGCAAGTACCATACTCGACCGGCTTAGCACCCAACACCACTTTTTGGGACATTTCTATTTTTGGGTTCACATTCGGCTATGCGCCCATCCCCTACTAAAATGTCCAAATTTGACTGTCTACCAATAAAAACCTGGTCTTGGATCATTGGTTGACTTTTCTGAATACTGGCAGTCGTATTTAAATAATACAGTGTGGATATTGACCATGAAAATGTTGCAAATGCATAGAACGGTAATGGTGCGTAAACTAATGTTCGACAATGACCTGTTAACAAATGTGAAAGGCGTTGAATACTTCATTCCACATTTAGTTTACCTTTGAAAATTGCTAATTATAAGTTTAAGAAAAAATCATGCCACCCTTTTTCGCTAAAATCAGTTCCAACAGATCATACTTTGACATCGATAACTCACTTTTGGATTGCGTTACCAAGAATGTCTTCCAGAATTCCCAGAGTAATGCGTCAGTACAATACAACATTCTGATTGGTCTATAACAGACTTGACCTACGAGGTCAAAGGATGTTGTTGCAGGTCAAATCGCGCAAGAAAACATGCGGAAAATGCTTTTTATCAAGGGTTTGTGTTTGATCACACACATTCGTCAATAGAGATGATGAAGTTTTTGACTGTTCCAAGAGACTAAAAACTAATTTCACAATTTAATTTTTTCTCCAAAAGAGGTAATATTCTCCTCAATCAATGGTACATACTAAAATTGTCATTTGCACCCTTTCTCTGGTAAGTGCCAACCCCACAAAAACACACTGGGCGAGTACGGTATATAATGTTGTAACAACATGTGCATATTTTCTACTGAGTGACATTTTTTTAGGTCACACATAAGGCATATTCTTCAGGTTAAAATAAAGTACTCTACTTACTTCAGCAGTTATTGACTTTTGGGGTGGCTTTAATCTGTCTTCAAGGTTCTTTTTTTTCACAGATCCCGGAGGCCTTCCTCTCTTTCTTTTCACAGGCATCTCTCCTGAAGGATTAGTTGGAGACATGGCCGTACTTGGTTTTCCAGCAGCATTAACAGCATCCGCAGCAGCAGCTGCAGCTGCAGCAGCTTCCATCTCTTTCACAATTTTGGGTTTCCTTCCACGTTTTTTCTTCATTGGTGTTCCATCAGGTGACATTTCAGGCACACCTGCTACTATCCTTGCTGCTGCTATCACATTGTCCAAAGTTGCTTCCACAGAGTCTTTACGATCACGTATTTTTGTTGGTTTTTCATTATCTGCTTGGGGACTAATCTATGCAATGAACGTACAAACAAAGGCACAAAAATTAGTGTAAAATCACTATCAATTGTCAGCCAGGAAATGCGCAATTTATTCTACAGAAGCACAATAAAAATATTGAAAAATAGAAACCCTGAGTATTCAACAAGCAAAGGCAAGAAAGAATAATAAAATTGTCCCTGGCTCTGTTATTGGAGATATAAACATTTTCTATCTTTCAAAAGTATGAAAGAAAACAGATCCAAGATGGAGAAAATGTGTTCTCCAAAAATAAGGTGTGTGCAGAACAATGGAATTTATTTTAGGACTGTTGACTACAGACTAAGAAAGCAGGGTTTTACTCACGGCAACAGCAGAATACTACAATACACAATGAATAGTTTGCCTGATATCCCCGTGCAGGTTACTTCACCAACATTAATTGAGTGCAAGACCAATATGGCAGCCAGCTAAGCAGCTAAACAATCACAGCCAGGTGGGAGAGAAATAGAGTAAAGACACCAATAAATAATACGTACTACCTTCAGTGCTTTGGTCATTTCTGGTGAAAATCCTATGTTTTCTACATCAGCCTCTTGCATTTTCTTTGACGGCCTCAATTCTCTTCTTGATCTTTTCAAAGGAGGTTGGTCGCCATGGTCATCTGCTTTTCGTTTCCCTGAAGTAAATAAATTATGATTTTTTTTTATACCCTGTGACACAAAACCACAGAATACAGTCATGTGACACAAAAGAGTGATATGTATATCATCCGTCGTTAGTGGCTCTTTCAGAAGATACAATTCACATCAAATTCTGGGGATACCCAATAATGTGTAGATTA